AGGAGGCAGATACCAACTGGGTCCCCATGCCAGAGTGTGCACAACCTGGTGAGCCACCCTGTATGTCCTTGTTCCCGTGCCCCCTTTTTAAGCAGGAGCCACTCACGCAAGCCAGCACGGGGTGGGTCCAGGATGGCCACGAGGTGCTGGGAAGCCAGTCTGCTCACCAGGGCAGGCACCAGGTCCTCGGCCCTCCCACAGTGGAACTCCACGTTACTCAGTTCTGAAGAGATGGCACCGTGGCCTGTAAAAGGGCTGCACACCTTCCCCACAGGGCCAGCCCTGGGGAAGCCCTAGCCAAGGAGCTTGCTCACCTGCTCCACCTGTCAGGCAGCCTGAGCCCTAACCACTGCTGAGGCTAGCAGTAGGGGTGGCATCTGCCCCGTCCCTATCCACGGCTTTGCCGCTCACCATTGTCCTGGGCATTCACCCGGGCGTCCTCCACAGCCTCTGGGCACAGTTCAACCCCGATGACTCTCTTCACCTTCTGAAACAGAAAAGCATGATGTCAGCCCACCCAGGGCTACCTCAGGGAGGGGAGTGCATGGGGTGATGGGGTCAGCTGCGGTGCCTTCAAGCTAGGGTCAGTGGGGCTCTTGTGGGGTGGGGAGAAGGTGCCCTTGGTGGGGTGGGAGGGCTCACCCGGGCCAGGGCCAGGCCAATGGTGCCGGTGCCACAGCACACATCCAGCACTGTGCTGTCCGCATCCAGCTGGGCCCAGTCCTGGATGACTGTGTAGAGCACCTCGGCTGCAGGTGTGTTCACCTGGGGGAAGGCAGTGCCCATGATGTCAGCGGCCACCCCCCTGTGGTGCTGCTGGCACCCCGAGACCCATGTTCTTGGTTCTTCCATCCTGCTGCCCACCTTGATACCCAACCTCTTCCCTGTCCCCACCTTAGACCACTCTTGATAATGCCCTCACCCTATCCCCAGCTTTTTTATTTTTTAATTAAGAGATGGGGTCTCGCTATGTTGCTGAGGCTGGAGTGCATTGGCTATTCACAGGTTCGATCCCACTACTGATGCACAGGAGTTTTGACCTGCTCTGTTTCTGACCTGGGCCGGTTCATCCCTCCTTAGGCAACCTGGTGGCCCCTCACTCCCGGGAGGTCACCGTACTGATGCTGAACTTAGTGTGGACACCCGATTGGCATAGCACACTACAGCCCAGAACTACTGGGCTCAAGTGATCCTCCCACCTCAGCCTGCCGAGTAGCTGGGACTACAGGCACGTGCCACCCTGCCCGGCAGCCCCCAGCTTTAAAAGACAGGCCTATGCTGAGAATGGCCTCCTCCTGGCCCTGATGGGTTGAGGGCTCATGAGGGCCAGCAGGCTGCACCTTTCCTGCCCCAGCAAGGGGACTTTGCCTCCCACAATTCACAACAGGGCCCCTGGAGTTACCCAACTGCAGCTCCCACCCCCACACCTGGCCCTCCAGCAGGTCCCGCCAGGCCTGTCTCCAAAAACCGCTGCTCCAGGTCCCCACAGCCTTCTTGCAGCAGAGTGGGACGGTAAAACAGTTCCCTAGTCCAGAGGCCACCACGGCCTCCCTCCTGCCAAGCCCAGAGCAGTGCCCTTTGGTGGTGTACTGAGGGCCATGCCTCAACCTCCCCGTGACAAGAAGGGCCACTGCTGTGTGTACCTCTAGGTTATCAAGAATCAAATCAGTGATGACCAACCTCTTTCCTACTTCACGCTCCCTGTGGCTCCCCTGCTGATTCTCTCCCCAGATTTCGCCACCTGAGCCCACCATTCCCATCATGTCCTGATGCTGCATCAGGCTTCCCTCCACATGTCCCCATGCACACCAGGTACTGAGGGCTACCTGGAAGAAGGCGTGTGGAGAGATCCGGAAGGTCAGTCCTAGCAGGTCCTCATGGATGCATCGGTCCCCAGCCACGTGCTCCAGGGGCAGGCCCTCCTGGCTGGGAGTCTTTCTGCGGACAGAAGTGCAGGTCTTTCAGTGTCACAGCCCCTGCAGGGACCCGTCCCACCCAACTTGGGCTCCTCACCGCTGTCCCTCCTCCACGAAGTAGAGGCAGGTCACTCCACTGGCCCTGCCTGGCCCTGACATGAAGTGCTGTGCTAGGGAGGCCTTCAGCTCTGCCAGCTCCTCAGGGTTCAGTTTCTGGAGTAAGGGGTGAAAAGGTCTCATCAGGCTGTGGCGAGGCCCACCCAGGCTAGGTACATACCCTCCCCGAACAGGGCCGCCGCCTGAGACCTGGGGGTGGAAGTAGGCAATGGCCATGGCCTGGCGGCGGCGGCTAGTACGCACAGTCAGCTGCTTCCAGTGGCCTGTGTACGTCTCTGGGTCATAAGCTGAGTATGGAGTGGACCTGTGGGAATCACAAGCTGGCTAGGTGCCCACGACTGGGGAAGCAGCCCTCTGCTCTCTCCTTGGGCCACACCTTCCTCCACCTGGCTGAAATGGCAGGCACCCCAAATTCCCAGGGTGGCATTCCCACCCTCTGCTTCCAGACCACACAGAACTTCCCAGGAGCCCTGACACAGGTCCTCACCGGATGTACTCCTGGAAGGCCTTCACCACCTGCTTGGTTGCTTCGGGGATGTGCACGGTGTCAAACGGGGCTGCCACAGCACACGTCCCTCCCTTGTACTTGCCGAGCCGACAGCCCACGGTGTTATCCTCCCCATCCACCCCGACGCCAACCAGAAACTCACACTTATTACGATACTCGGTCTGCAGGGAGAGACAACTACACCTTACCCTGGCTGCCCAGCGCTTGTGCCCTGAAAACCCTGATTTCCCCACAGGGGCTGGCAGTGAAAACACAAGAGCGACGACCGACAGGTGTGTGATAAGTTACCAGAAGAAAACACAAAGCAGGGAGAGCAACCGGAAAGGTGAACAAAAGCAAAGTTTCTCAAAACCCAGTATAGGGGTTTGTGGCCGCTGAAGTTGAGCCTGACCTGCTGGGGTGATGGCCTGACCCCCTCCAGTGGGCAGCAGGCTTTGTTGTGCCTGTGCCTCTGCTCCACCAGCCAGGGCAGCAGGGCACGGTTGGTGCTCCCGATTTCCCTGTAAGAGGATCAGATCTGTGGTTGGACTCCACCCACCACCCCCCACCCATGCCCGGCCACTCCCCAAATGGCCAGGCTCCTGGCCTCTCCTTTGGGATGTCATTGTGCCCATGGTAACACGGATGTCTCACTGGCTAGCTCCCAAAAGGGCTTCCAGATCTTGTGCTGGGCATCCTGACTGGTGCACGGGCAGGCAGGCTGATCAAGCACAGGGCTGGGCAGAGCCCCGGCCAGGAGGGGTGCCTCCAACCTCACTCACTTGGCGAGTTTCTGCAGCACCTGCTCACACTCCAGCCGCTTCCGCTCAAGCTGCTCAGCATAGGGCACTGTCCATAGAGGCGTCACTACATCGGCCACTCGTGTTGCCAGCAACTCACTCTCGCCCTCCTGTCGCCTCCTCCTGGCCATGGGGTCGGCCTTGGGCCGGGCCAGGCGCACACTGAGTGGGCGGCCTTTCCAGAGGGCACCATGCAAAATGCGCAGGGCCTTGTCCCTCTCTGCAGCGCTGCGAAATGTCACGAAGGCGCAGGGTGGTTGCCCAAAGAGTTTGGTTTTGTGGGGCTGCAGGCCAAACCGGGCCAGGAAGCGCCGGACATCGCTGAAGCTGGCATGGCGAGGTACATTCTGCAGTTCCAGTTTGAAGATCTCAGAGGTGAACAGGTCATCCCTGATGTAGCTGTAGAGCCCGGGCTGAGGCCCCGGCCCTGTAGGTGCCCCAGCCCCCTCTTCCTCTGCCTCCTCCTGGGCTGCAGGGGGCACCGAGGCTGTAGGGCCGTTCAGGGCACTGCTGCTCTCCTGGCCACAACTCTCCATGGGCTCTGGGCCCTGTGTGGGGGCAGACGGGGTGCTAGGGTGAGCACCAGGCCCTGGGGCCTGGCCCCAGGCTCCCCTATGGCACACCCAGACCTCTGTCGGTGCACTCTGCACTCAGCCCTGCCTCTCCCCTCCCCATTCTACCCTCCTGATGCCATTCCCGTCTCCTTTCCTACCCTAAAGCACCCGTCTCTACCCTACATCTTCTCTGGCAGATTTCCTGCCCCACCCTGCCTCCTTCCACCCCAACCCCGTCTCTACCCAGCGTCTCCCAGCACTCTACCTCGTTGTCGAGGTTCTCACTCATTGCCCAGGTCGTTCTCCGCCTTGACCAGGGGCACCACGGGGGCCGCCTGGCCACCTCGTCCTGGGCCCGTCACACGAGAAGTGCTCAGAGGGGAGGTGCTCGGAGAGCTCATGCAACGCCGCGAGGTCGCCGCCACCGCCAGCCTCGCCCTGGGCGGGGGCGGGAATCGAACCGGTGGTGCTCAGGTCCGAGTCTCAGGCTTGGGGCTGCACCGCCCGCCCGCCAGGGGCCCGCGCTGGCCGCTCGCTTCGCCCGCTACTCTTAGTCCGCCAGAGCGTGCCGCGGAGGCCACGCATCTCTATGATCCTGGCTTCCGGCAACATCATCGCCACGCGCCGGCTCCAACCCCCAACCACTTTAGCCAGCTCTAGAGCCGCGCGTGGCCGGGACGGAAGTGCGCGCGGGGGTCGCCGGGAGTGCGCTCTCCTCTGGCTGAAGGGCGGGCCGAGCATGCGCCGCGGGCGTTTTGGCGGGAAGCGCGGGGCGGGTCGGACAATGAGAATGTCCGCCGCATGAGCCAATAAAGCTGTACTGGTTTTGAATCGCGGCGCGTTTCCCGCCGCCGAGGTCAGGGGTCGAGGTTCGGGTCGCAGGGCGGAGGGAAGAGCGGGCAGGCGGGAGGCGCCGGCGCCAGACGCGGAGGGAAAGAGCTACGAGTAGCCGCCGAGAGGCCGCGGAGCCAGCGACGACCGACCCAGCTGAGCCGCCGCCGCCGCGCCCCCATGGCGGCCGCTAAGGTGCGGCCGGGCCCAGGCGGGGACAGGGTGGGCGGGCGGGGCCGACGGTACTGGGGCGGCTATCAGCGGCCACGTGGGCGGCCCGCTCCGCAGCCACCAACCCCCGCCGGCCTGCAGGCTCGGCCGTCTGTGGGGCCTCGGTGGCGCGGGGTCGGGGTGCGCGGGGCCTGGGGGCTCGAGGCCTGCAGAATTGGGGCCTCTGGGGGTGCAGGCTCTGGGCCTGGGGGGGCTGCAGGGCGCCCGCGTGACCTTGGGGTGGGCTGGGGAGCGGCCGTCGCCACGCGGGGCGACCCCAGCCTCCGGGAACTGGAGCGGGAGGCAGGTTTCCTCCGGCTCGGCCCACTTGGGGCTTCCCACTAGTACTGTGCATTTATTACTTTCGTCGCCCACGCAGCCCTTCATTCGGTTCTCACGTCTGGAACCGCCACCGGCCTCTGGCAGAAGGTCGCGTTCCAGCGTGGGGCACAGGTCCTGGACGCGCCGACCCAGGGGGCGGCTTTGTTGGCTGCGGTGTCTGGTTGAGTGAGTGCGGGCCGCTGCGGAGCCTCAGTACTGTGGGGACCAGCGAAGAGCCTATGTTTTCTTTTCCAGTTTGTGTTAAGCGGTGAAGTCTTGGGTCTCTTGCTGGGTGACTACGGCTCCAACCTAAAATATGATTATTGGTGCTTTCTTATTCTCTAAATTGGGTCAGGATTTCATGACTTGTGCCAGTTGTAGTTTATCTACTTCATAATTTCCTAAACGCTGAAAAAATTGCCGGCAGAGCTGTGAATCCACTGTAAACCCCGGAAGTCCTGTAGCAACTTTTTCATTCTAGAAGCAAGAGCACAGCTATTTCCAAATTAGTAAAAACTGAAAGGGTGACATTTTGCTTTAAGGGAACATTTCAAAATCCATTTCGACTTACCTTTGTGTCCTTTGATCTTCACACAGCAGGTATCATCTGCATTTTATGGATGAGGAAGAAACTGATGCTCAAAGAGATGCAGTTTCTCCCAGGCCACTCTCTGCAAGTGTGGGCTGCCTTTAGGGTCCCCCATCAGTCTGTGCAGATGATTGAGATCTGTGAATGGGGGGAGGGGCCCAAGCTCTGGTGTCTTGCTGTAGGCTTGCGTGCTGAGTCTGTGGAGCTGGGTGTAAATGCAAACCTTTCCTCGTGTGGAAGAGTGGGCTTAGTTTCTTGCTTTGGGGTGGGGCCCGTCCTTGTATCTGAGGGCCCTTCGCTGGTGGGGCTGACCACGGCAGGCACTGGTTGGGCTCTGGCTACGAGCCAGGTCCATAGGCCAACAGTGTAACCTTTTTGTATCTGTCTCCACAGGATACTCATGAGGACCATGATACTTCCACTGAGAATGCAGACGAGTCCAACCATGATCCTCAGTTTGAGCCAATAGTTTCTCTTCCTGAGCAAGAAATTAAAACGTTGGAAGAAGATGAAGAGGAACTTTTTAAAATGTAAGTACACTGATACCCTAGAAATAGGAATCTTTAGTGTAAGGTTGAACTTACAACTTTCATATCCAGGTCTTGGACTGACTTAATCGGACTGAGGCTGTTTAAAGGAAGGGCCTAAAGTTGTTTGGTGACTAATCCATGTGGAAATTTAACCCATTCCTTTCATGACTGCCCTGCAGCCAGTCACATGGAAGGCGTCCATCGTTACTGCTCTGTCCACTGGCATGGCAGCCCTGCTGCCCTTCCTTGCCACTGGCTTCTGAGGATCCAGGGATCCCCCTGGTTGAGCAGGGGGTTTTAACTTTTTGCAGCATAGACTTTTTTGATGTTGTGAAACTTATAAATCCCCCACCTGGTGTTTCTAATACACAAGATAATGCTTGCAATTACACATGAAAATAGGTGATGGTTTAGTTATTAAAGCCACTTTAAAAAAGCTGTACGTGTGCTTCTCAACACCCTCAGTGAAGAGCTGGTTGCAGTGGTGAGTACCAGCACTATGGAGACTGGTCTGTCGCCTACACTCAGGATTGCAACACACACACACCGTGGTTTTTTTTGTTTGTTTGTTTTTTTGAGACAGAGTCTTGCTCTGTCACCAGGCTGGAGTGCAGTGGCGCAATCTCGGCTCACTGCAACCTCTGCCTCCTGGGTTCAAGCGATTCTTCCTCCTCAGCCTCCTGAGTAGCTGGGACCACAGACGCGTGCCACCACGCTTGGCTAATTTTTTTGTATTTTTAGCAGAGACAGGGTTTTACCATGTTGGCCAGGATGGTATCGATCTCGTGATCCGCCCGTCTTGGCCTCCCAGAGTGCTGGGATTACAGGTGTGAGCCACCACGCCCAGCCAAACAACTGTATTTAGTTACACACCTTAGTGGAAATGAGGTTGCAGTTTTTCCCTGTTCAAGTTGATGGAGCCTCCCCCACCCTTGAAGTTGCTTCAAGAGTCCAGGTTAAGATTGGGTTGCCCTGGGGTGGGAGAGGGAAGCAGAGAGAGTCATTCTTACTGCAAACCTCCTCCAAGGAAGGGGGCCGGGGAGAGATACCTGGGAAGGGATAACTGGAAGGGATACCTGTGTCACCCTTTAGTCACAGAGGGTGATGGACATCTCCCTGAAGCCACTGGGTGGCTGGGTCTCCACTCTGCTGATGCCTTGCTGTAGCCCCTGTTTGGGAGTAGCTCCTTCCTGGGGTGAAGTGCTTGCCCCTATCCTCTCACTGCCCACGTTGGGTGGGAGGTGTTCCTGGTGTCCTGGGCCTGGGCCCTCTCTGAGGGAGGTGAGGCCAACAGGGTGGGCCCAGGCATCTGTAGTAAAGCTCCAGGGGTGTCCTGTTGGGGAGCCTTGTGGCACAGTCTCCCTTGCCAGAATCGTGTGGGCAGAGAGCGGAATCGTCTGAGAGAGGCAGGTGGAACTGGGCACAGAGGGAGGGCGCAGCCTGAGCCCTGAGAGTGGGCTGCTGGGTTTTGGATACCCCGGTCCCCAGTGGGAGGGCTGCTGCTGGGCAGGAGGGCTGGGTGTTGGCCAGGGCCTGTTGACTGAGCAGAGGCCCAGGCCTCTTCTCTGGGTTCGGGGCTCAGGAAGAACAGGGGCCATCTCATAGTTGAGGGACGCTGGGTGTAGGATGGAGGTCCTTGTCCTGCACCTGATCCTTGCTGTTCCCCTGAATCTCTGGGCTGGGGTGCTCTTGCACAGTAACTGTGGGCTGCCCAGCCTACCTAGGGAGCTTCTTTTCCTACGTTGGGCCATTCCCCCCCCCACCGCCCCGTGTTTTCTTTCTTTCTTTTTTTCAGGCTGAGTGCAGTGGTGCAATCATGGCTCACTGCAGCCTTGATCTCCTGGGCTCAAGAGATCCTCCTGCCTCTGCTTCCTGAGTGGCTGAGACTACGGGCGTTAGTCCAGCTAATTTTTTATCTTTTTGTGGGCATGGTGTCTCGCTGTGTTGCACAGGCTGGTCTCTGTTGGGGGAAATACAGCAACTGTAGGCGCAGTGCTGTGGTCTCAGCTCACTGCAGCCTCAGCCTCCTGAGTAGCTGGGATTACAAGCACCCGCCACCACACCTGACTGATTTTTGTGTTTTCAGTAGAGACGGGGTTTCACTCTGTTTGCCAGGCTGATTTTGAACTCCTAACCTCAGATGGCCTGCCTGCCTCAGCTTCCCAAAGTGCTAGGATTACAGGTGTGAGCCACCGTGTCCACACCTTGAATTCCAATTCAAGGTCATCTTGAATTCCAATTCTCTGCATTGTAGAATTGGAATTCAAGATGACCTGCAGTTTGTTGGGCTGCTGTGCTTTCTGGTGGTGTCGTGACAGGCAGTTCTTGGAGCCTGAAGAAGGGCAGAGGTGTTGGTGGAGGCGTCAGGCCCTGGGCGCAGGGTTGTCCTGTGTCCTCTCATGCAGGTGCTGCATATGGGCTGCAGGTCTGTTTTCCTAACCTGACGACTTTTCTTGCAGGCGGGCGAAACTGTTCCGGTTTGCTTCAGAGAATGACCTCCCAGAATGGAAGGAGCGAGGCACCGGCGATGTCAAGCTCCTGAAGCACAAGGAGAAGGGGACCATCCGCCTCCTCATGCGGCGGGACAAGACCCTGAAGATCTGTGCCAACCACTATAGTAGGTGGCCCAGCAGTCCCCAGCAGCTCGGTCTGGGACCTTCAGGAAGATTCTTTCAGGACTGACGGGGAACTGGGGAGCGTGTTATTACATGGAGTGCAAGTTTGTGGTGTGTTTGTTGAATTTAAAACCAGAAATACGTTTTTCAGACGTGCCTCTGAACTCAGAGCAGGCCCGCAGCGAAGCTTAGAGCACACGGGGGTGTGGAGGCAGCCAGACGGGAGGACGCGGCGCCCAGGCTGGGCTCGGGACGAGGAGTGAGTGCTGCAGGGCAGGGCGAGGGGGCGCTGTGTGTATGTGTGTGGTGTGATGTGATGTCTGGGGGGTGTGATACCTTGGGGGATGTGGTGTCTAGGTGTGTGTGGGGTGTCTGGGGGTGTGTGGTTGGGTGTGTGTGGTGTTGGGTATGTGTTGGGGGTGTGTATGGTGCCTGGGGGGTGTGGTGTCTGGAGGGGTGGTATGTGTAGTATCTGAAGGTGTGTGGTGTCTGGGTGTGCATGTGGTGTTTGGAAGTGTGATTGTGTGTGTGGTGTTTGGAAATGTGGTTGTGTGTGTGGTGTCGGGGTCTGTGTGTGGTGTTTGGAAATGTGTGTGTGGTATTGGGGGGGATGTGTCATGTTGGGATGTGTGGTTGGGTGCGTATATTCTTTGAGGGGTGTGGTGTCGGGGGGGGTATGTGTGTGAGATTAGGGGTGTCGGGCAGTGTGAAGGTGGGTGTGTGAGGTGCCCAGGCGCCAGCCTCTTCAGCTGTGGTGTGTTCCACCCTCACCAGGATCTTCCCTGGGGAGGGAACAGGGTTGGGGAGAAGGTGGCCAGGCCCTCAGCACCTGTGAAGCTGCATAAGTAGAGGACCTTGGGCAGATTCAGCCGAGAGCTCTAGGCACCCTGTGAGGGGCCCAGCCTGGCCTGGAAAGAAGTGGCAATAGGTTGTCCCAAGTGTGTCTGGCTGCCAGCTGTCCTTAGATTGTGCTGCCCGGCTTGGTGGCATGTCTAGAAGTACACTTGTCTTGGGGTGTCCTTTGGTAAGCTTCCTAGTGTTGTTTGTTGAGTGTCATGCGTGTCTGGTGGAGCAGGGCCCTCATCCCAGGTGCAGGATGACTGCTGGCAGGAGCCTGAGTGACTCGGCCCTTGCGGGCAATGCAGCAGGGTGGGCAGGGGTCTGCCTGTGCTGTGGGCACCTTGGTGCACGGCCTGGCCTGCCAGACTTCCTTGGGAACTGGCTCCTGGGTTCCCCACCCTCCCTGCCCAGCATGTCTAGTCCTGGGGAAGCTTGCGCTCTGGCTGGTCCTCTTCCTCCTCGAGCCCAGCTTGAATCATTTCCTCGGGGGTCTTCCCTGATGCCCTGTGCTGCTCCCAGAGCCTGGTCAGGTTGCGGGTTATTGTGTGTGCATGGTAAGTCGGTCCTGGGCCCCTGAGCATCTAGGCAGAGCCGTCTGCATAGCTGGTAGTGTCTTGTGCCCATCATGGGCCCTTGGTAGACAGGAAAAGTGGCAGTGGGTAGAGGCTGGCCTCTGGGTGGGGTGTCAGGGAAGCTGTGGGCTGGCTCGGGGGCTGGGTGTGAAGGGGGCATGCAGGAGGCCTGGCGTCTGCTGTGGCGGGCTGCTGTAGGCGAGATCCCCCAGCTCCCAGTTCAGATGATGACATACAGGAGTAGCCTGGGGGTGCTTGTGGCCTGGGCTAGGTGTGGGCACCACCTGGGATGCTCTGGGTTCTCAGGAAGCTGTTCTGAAGAGTGGTTGCCTGCAGGGTCATCTCCCCTTGGGGCTGCCTGTGCCTGAGGAGTTGCGGGGAGGCATTCGCTGCAGGCGGTGGCTCTGTCTCCTGTGTCCTCCAGGCATCAGTCATGGGGATGGAGGATGGAGGGAATCAGTGTGCACTGCTGCGGGCTGCAGCCCCCAGTGGGTTCCTTTCTGGCAACTGCCCCACTTTCCAGCCCTCGGTTGCCCCCCACTTTCAGATGTGCTGGGATCCCGCAGGAAAGGCTGGGCCCCCTGGGCCTTGTGCCCTGACGTCTGAACCTGGGCTTCTGACTGTGTAGTCAGGGTCAGGACCAAGGGGAGGGATCGGTGTTGGGCTTGAGTGCAACTAGAGCTGGGGCCCGCTTTTCCGGCTCTTTTTCTCTTCATTTCTGGAGGTGGGGGGTCTGAGTGCCAAGTGATCTTGCACACGGCTCGAGTTCCTTGTGGAGATGGCCTTACGGTCAGGGGGCCACCTGTTCCCGATTAGGATGGTCCTGGTTTTAAGTGATTATGGGGCATTTTTAAAGGTTTGAATAAAACTCAGGCCCTGTGGCACTTTGTTTAAGCCTGGTTCTCTGACCCCAGATGGACTGTACTGGTTGTTTTCTGAAGCAGACCCCTCAAGTTAATGAGCAGGGTGCTCTGTGGCCGAGGGCTGGGTGTGCTGGTCTTTCAGTCATCCCGCCATCCTCACCATCTTCTCTCTCCTCAGTCACGCCGATGATGGAGCTGAAGCCCAATGCGGGTAGCGACCGTGCCTGGGTCTGGAACACCCATGCTGACTTCGCCGACGAGTGCCCCAAGCCAGAGTTGCTGGCCATCCGCTTCCTGAATGCTGAGAGTGAGCCAGGGGACCCTGGGGGACCTGGCTGATTGGGGATCACCTGCATGGCAGTGTGGCGGGTTATGTGCAACAAATGCTGTTGCCTTTTGGGAGGGGGAGTAACTGGGATGTGTGTAGTGTGGGCTGCCCTGCCCTGCTGTTTGGGGGCCGTGCCCAGGCTGAAGCCACAAGCAGCGCCTTCCCCCTTAAACTCAAAGCTGCTAAGTAGCTGCTGAACAGCGGCGCCTGCTCAGTCTCCTCGAGCCTAATGCTTTGGCTTCCTCTTAAGTTCCAGTTCCCATCAGATGTTGTGGAGCCTGAGACCCGACCCAGGGCTTCCTCCCAGTGCTGATCCTTGTGCTCGCTGGGGCCAGGGGCCCCTCATGGTTGCCTGGGTGCCAGCAGGGGCTGGGATGTGTGGTTGGGTGTGTGTAGTGTTTGAGGGGTGTGGTGTCTGGTTGGGGGTGTGTGTGACATTGGGGGTGTCGAGCAATGTGAAGGTGGATGTTCGGATCATCTAAGCTGTGTCTGCTGGCTCCTGGAGGAATTGGTGGGTGCTGTGGCCTGGCACCTGGTAGCAGGCCATCTGGTGCTGAGTGACCTTGCCCTTGCTCCAGGAGTGGCTGCCCCAACAGCCCTACCAACATGGTGGGGAGCCGAGCCTGTGTCAGAGAGGTCCAGGCTCCACCCCTGTGCCTAAACGGTTATGGTCAGAGGAGGAGACAAGGCCAGGGCCAGTGTCAGATGCTCCAGCCCTTTAGGACGGAAATTACCATGAAGTGGGTCTTCTGTGAATCCTGGCTCTTCAGATCCGCCAGGGCATATCCCTTCCACTGCTCACAGCTCTTAGAGTCTTCTCTCTCCCTTCCACACAGATGCACAGAAATTCAAAACGAAGTTTGAAGAATGCAGGAAAGAGATCGAAGAGAGAGAAAAGAAAGGTGCTGTGGTGCCGTGGGTGGGGGGCTTCCTTGCAGACCCACTCTGCACCTGACTGCACTTCCAGGCGGGTGCTTTTTCTGTCTGCCACATAAACATTTCAGGGTGCTGTGGTGGCCACCTGACCTATCCAGGGAGATGCAGCTGCCTGGGGACACAGGTGCTTCCTGGAAAGCCCTGAGCACATTAGTGTTCCTGGACTCACGTCCTCTTGGGCGGGCACTGGAGTCTGGGCACTGCCTGGAGCTCAGTAGAAGGTGCTTTATGATGGTCCTCGGTCGTCTCAGAGGGCTTGGTCCTCTGCTGTAAGGCTGGACTGCAGCTGTGCTGGCAGGTGGCCAGATGTCCCTGAGCAGCCTGGCCATGATCTAGGCAGTGCTCGAATGCATTCACTTGGCCTCCTTTGGTCATTGGGTTTCAAGAAGACAGACTCCGGGAGGTGGCTTGGCCTGAGAGCGGGTGAGCTGCTGTGGGTGGGTGGCGGCGCTCAGGATTGGCCTGGTGAGGGCCATGTGCTTGAACGCGCTGTGCTTCTGTTTCTCACTGTGCTGCTCGTGTTTTAGCAGGATCTGGCAAAAATGACCATGCTGACAAAGTGGCGGAAAAGCTGGAAACTCTCTCAGTGAAGGAGACCAAGGAGGATGCGGAGGAGAAGCAATAAATCGTCTTATTTTATTTCCTTTTCCGCTTTCCTTTTTTTTAAAAGAATTTTACCCTGCCCCTCTTTCGGTTTGTTTTTATTCTGTTTCGTTTTTACAAGGGACGTTATATAAAGAACTGAATTTAACATTCAGGTTGTTTTTTTTCTAAGTTTTTGCCCGGTTGAAGGTGACTTCAGAAAATCCATTCCCCAGTCATGAAAATGTACTGTGCTAACTTTCTTTTCCATAGTGGAAACACTTATTTATAGTCACCAAAAATAGTGAATAAAAAACACGTTTGGAACCTGGACCAGACAGCAGGACTGCACGTGTATGGGCCTCTGTGCTGTGAGCGCTGCTCTCCTGAGCACCCGGGGTGTGTGTCCAGGCCTGTGTGTGGTGACGGTGGGTGCTGTGCCTCACTGTAGCCTAGAGTTCCTGCTCTGGTGTCAGATTGTGTGTGTGTCTTGCTGTGGGCCTCGAAACAGGTGTCTGAGCTGGTGCTGGGGGGGAATGTGGCCAGGGTTGTCTGGTGCCGGATGTGGCACTGATGTAAGGCTATGGGCTGGGCAGGGTGGGCTCTGCCATGTCCAGGTGTGGCCTGGCTGCTGCCAGGGCTGAGGCAGGCTCCACTGCCCCTTAATGGCCTGAACAGCCACTGCTGTTTTCTATGGTGGGCAAGGGTGGGCTTTCTGTTTTGGAGAGAGAGAGGAAGACCACCAGAGTACCTTGGCTTTGGAGCAGGGAGGCAGTAGCCAACTGAGTGGGTCTTTAGCATCGGCCAAGGCTGACTTTGGTTGGCCCCTGTGGCAGAGTGGCCCTTGCGGAGAGAAAGACCAGTCTGGTACTGGGTGGGTCTCAGCCCTCTAGCCCTTCTGTTGGAAAGCCTTTTGTACCCTGGCCTTGGAGAAAACAGCTGGCTCTTGACCTCCCGGACTTGAAGTCCACACTTGGCAGTGTTGGTCACAGTTGTGGGCATCTGCAGTAACTTCAAATATGTTTTCAAAGATGCTGTTGGGGTTCGTCATGTATCATGGATTGTGTCTGCAGACAACGTCTTCAGTGTGTGGTCCCAACTGCCGTAAGGTGCCCTGTCACCGTTTGTCATGAACACCTGCCCGGGGTGCTTCATTGTGAGGTTGGCTGCCTGCTGCCATCACCTGTTCTTTCCCGCTCTCCACCTGGGCCTGGGCCCTATTCTCTCTGATCTCTGTGTGCTGGTGTCCTGTCTGGTGACTGCCTGTCTGGTTTAAACACCAGTCCTTGGTCCCTCTGGGGCAGGGGTCCCCAACCCCTGGCCTGCCGATGGATACAAGTCTTTCCTGTTAAGAACCGGGCCACACAGCAGGAGGTGAGTGGTGGGCGAGCAAGCTTTACTGCCTGAGCACCCCTCAGATAAGTAGGGGATTAGATACAGGAGTGTGAACCCTATTGTGAACTTCGCATGTGAGGAATCCAGGTCGCATGTTCTTTATGAGAATCTAATGCCTGATGATCTGAGGCAGAAGTTCATCCTGAAACCACTCCCCTACCCCTGGTTCATGGAAGAATTGTTTACCACCAAACTGGTCCCTGGTGCCAAGAAGGTGTGGGGGCGGGGGAGTGGTGGCACTGCTTTGGTGGATACGCTTCCAGAGACGACTGCACTCAGGCTGGTTTATTTTTACATAAGTGGGAACCAGTTTGTGGTTCCAATTTATAGAGAGGGTCTGGGGTCTCCCTCTTGAAGGAAGAGAACATGTGGCACCTGGGGGTTGCAACATAACTCTGAGTAGCTCAGGAGAGAAGGCTGTGCCAACCCCTTGTGCTTTCCAGTGCCCTGTATGTTCAGATAAACTACTTTAGTAATGAACTATGGAGATGATTCCTGAAAGTATGGTCTTTGCTTTTGGTTTAAAAAGCCCACTGTGGATGTCTCACTGGCATCTTGACTGTCCTGTAAGCCATGGCCCTCATCCTGCTCATGGACTGCTTGCCTCCTGCAGGTTGGCTGGGGGACAGTGGTGCCCTTTGCACCCAAGAAGAGCTGAAGCCTGTTCTGTGCTGAGCAAGTTCTTGTATTGGGAGGGTGGCGCCATCCACTGCAGGTGGCACCTTGCTGTGCTGCACTCCTGATGACCCCTGGGGCCACAGGCTGGCAGATCCATGTCAGTAGGAGGTTTTGGTGTCTGAAAGGGAGCTTCCGGGAGAGAAGCCCTTGGCTAGGACAGACACTCCCAGCACAGAAAGGATGGTGGTTAGTATTCTGTCTTTGATTTGGGGTTCCATTAAAATCCCAGGCTGACTTCTTTCATCTGGGGATGGGAGAAATGTCTCCAGGGGAGAGTCCCCGACAGTGGGAAGGCCCCTTGGAAAGGCTGGGAGACAGTGCCACCCAGTGCTGGGGCTGGGTTACAGGGCGCGGTTGAGGAAGCCGTGTATGGACACTGCAGGATGTGATGTGCTGCGGGAAGGGAGCTGTGCTGGAGGACAGAATGCATCCCCATACTGGCCCCACAGGACCACAGGGTAGGCTACACGAGGATGTTCATGTGGGTACCAGCCCAGGCCCTCTTTGGCAGACAGTGGTGAGCGGAATGGGGTCCTGTGGGTGCTGGGGATTGATTATGTGAGCAATGCAGTGTGCTTCAGCCTTCTGACCCGGGTCTGTCCACCAGGCTGCAGGCTGCGGAGCCTCCTGCTTTCTGCTTCATTTTCCTTTTCCCTGGGGTCTTAGCTCTTCTTGGGGAGGAAGCTAGGCCATGGGTTCGGCAGCCATGTGGGTCGGGGAGGCCAGTGCCAACCTCCCTTGGATCTGCACCACTCCGTAAGGAAGAGGGATCCTAAGTCTAGATGCAATGGTTGACACCTGTAATTCCAGCACTTTGGGAGGCAAAAGCAGGAGGATCACTTCAGGTCAGGAGTTCAAGACCAGCTTCGATAACATAATGTGACCCCATCTCTACAGGAAAAAAAAAAAAAAGCCAGGCATGGTGGTGCACATCTGTGGTCCCAGCTACTTGGGAAGTTGAGGTGGGAGGATTGAGCCCTGGAGGTTGAGGCTTCAGTGAGCCATGATTGCACCACTGTACTCCAGCCTGGGCAGCAGCAGAGCGAACCCCTGTGTTAAAACAAAACTTCAAGAGAAAAGGGATCTCACTAAGTAGGCCCGATTCCGCTTCCCACGGTCAGCATTCGGCAGTTGTTTCCAGGGTTCAGCTGGTGGAGGAAGGTGATAGTCCTGGCACCCTGCACAGAGCATGGGCATGGAGTCAGACCGAGACCCTGAGGGGCTCTGTGGTGTGTGTCATTAGAGGAGGCACTTCCTGGAGGAGGGCAGGAGCAAGGGAGAGGCTGGGGATGGGCGCCAGGTGGCAGCTGTGCTGCCAACTGAGAGGCTTGCTGGTGGCCACTGCAGAGCCCAGGTAAGGAGGCATCTGCTGCTGTGGGGTCTTATCCAGGCTCACTGTTGTGTGCAGAGACCCATCCACTGCCTCCGAGCTACCGTCAGTCCTTGGGAGCACCTTGTGCTGGGCCTCATGGAGTAGGGCACCCTGAGAGCAGTGCTTACCACCAGGGCTGCCTGGGAGGAAGCCCATCACCATTTCTGTTGTGCACTATTTAGTTGCATTAAGGGCTGGGTCGCTGGGTCCCAGCCCCAGTTCCTCTCTCCAGCAACCCGAAGCCCACAGCCCTGGCCTGGCCACCCTGAGGAGCTGGGGCGGGGTGCTTCCCCAGGTGAGCAGGGGCCTGCAGGCCAAGGAGCCTCATGCTTGTGCAGCAGGGTAGGGCTGCACGGGCTTCTGGTGGTAGAGGAGCAGACACTCAGGGCTGGGGGCGATGGGTGAGGCACCCCTACAGATCTCCACCTGGGGAGTGGTCTAATGGGTCTGGGTTTCAGAACAGGGGGCGCTGGGGGCATGGTGGAGTGGCTGAGGACAATGACCCTCGCTGGGGAAGCTCCGGAGCTTGACCGAGCAGGCGGAGGTCGCCTGCTCCGCCAAGGGGTACCCGCACCAGGCCCCGCCCCAACTCGCCCACAGTGCTGAGGGCCCCGGCCCAGTCCACCTTAAGCGGCGGCGGGGCGGGTGGGATTTCCTGCGGCAGGGGGCGCGCCGGGCCTATTGGGCAGGGCCGGGGTGCCGGGCTTCCCAAGGGGCCCCCGCCTTGGGGACGATGGGGGCTCCAGCCGACCCTCTCTCAAGTCTGTAGCTCAGGCCAGGACGTGGAGGGCCGGGCGCCTGCTGGCCGGGCTCCTCCAGCCCAGGGGTCCGCGGGAGGGCTGCGATGCGCTCAGGGGCAAGCAGCCACGACAGCGCTGCAGCGTCACACTCGCTCCCCTTCGTGAATGCCAGGGGGCTCCAGACGAGAGGGGTCGTTAGAAAGAGGACTGCGCCCACAGACGCCCCCGAAGCCACCTGCGCGCTTCCGCGGCCCGGGACCAGGGGGGCCTGACCTTCATCGTGGTGCCCATTGGCCGGCCGGGCCGCAGCGGTGCGTGGGTGCGCGGCCCCCGAGAGCCGCGGGCGCCCGCTGGCCTGGGGTCCCCGAGGCTGCGGGGACCCCTCCCCCTCCCCTTCCCCTCCCCCTCTCCCTCCGAGGGTCCCGCGAGCCGGTGGGCGGACCCCGGGCCCCGTGGACTCGCCACGCCTCGGCCCGCCCCACCGCGGCCCCCGGCGCCCGGTCCACCTTAAGGGGCGCGCTGACATCAGCGCGCCGCCGCCGCCGCCCGTGGGGTGGGATTTCCTCCGCCGCCGCCGCCGCCGCCGCGGGTCCTGCGCCGCGTCCAGCCCGCCCGCCCGACCCCGGCCCGACCCCGGCCGGCCCCGCCCGCCCGGCCCCGGGGAGGGATGCGGCGGCGCGGCGCCCAGGATGCCCCGCAGCCCCGGGACGCGCCTCAAACCCGCCAAATACATCCCGGTGGCCACGGCCGCCGCGCTGCTGGTCGGCTCCAGCACCCTCTTCTTCGTGTTCACGTGAGTCGGCGCCGCGTCCGGGGGCACGGGGGCAGCTATGGGCAGGGCCCGCACAGCCGGGGCCCGGGGTCGGCGGTCGCGGGGGGCTGGCGGAGCGCCGGCTGCAGGCGACCGGAGTTCCTCTCCCCTCTGCCCGGGCTCGGGGGCTGAAGCCGTGTGCAGCCGTCCCGAGCACCGGAGTGAATCCCTTGTGTGGGGACACCAGTGCGAGCTGGACACCTCAGGAATGTCCAGGCAGGCCCTGGCGGGGAGCGCTGGGCCCGGGCAGGGGAGAAGGCCAGGCTGCCCAGGGTGTGGCTGCAGCTCTTCCCTCCCCACGGGGCTCCCGAGGGGATGTGGGGCACCCAGGACCACG